TTTAACAGATATTCACATAGAAAACAGTTATTTTAAATAGTACAAATATTCACAATTTTTACTGTATATTTGGTCAAATAAATGCAGCTTTGATCACAGAAATAAATTACAGTTTAACAGATATTCACATAGAAAACAGTTATTTTAAATAGTACAAATTTTCACAATTTTTACTGTATTTTTGATCATATAAATGCAGAGATAAAACCTTACCGGACACTAGTGCAGATCCTTCAGATCTTGTCTTCTGAGTGCACTAACGCCACACTGATGCCCTGTATACAGGGATTCTGCCGCCTCCTTTCGTACCGGATTCCAAGACGGTCTACGCCAAGAATCTGGACGACGTGGGCGCTTTCTCCACGGTGAAGGGGGTCTGTCTGGAGGACGATGACAAGACGTTCTGCGATGAGTTTGCGTCGGGAAACATCCCCATCCCCTGGCAGGAGGAGATGATCGAGACGGGCATCTACGGCGAGCTGAACGTGTGGGGTCCAAACAGCACGGTGCCCAACGACCTGCGCAGAGAATCCATCCTGGAGCCGCTGCCCAAATCCTCCACCTGCAGCATCTCATAACCAGAGCAGCACCGAACCCTCAGATAGAGCACTTCAGCTTCAGCTGTGACTCTGGAGCACAAAACCAGTCTTAAGGGTCCATTTCTTGAAACTGAGATTTATGCATTATCTGAAAGCTGAATAAATGAGCTTTCCATTGACGTATGGTTTGTTAGGATAGGACAATATTTGAAAATCTGGAATCTGAGGGTGCAAAAAAATCTAAATATTGAGAAAATCATCTTTAAAGTTGTCCAAATGAAGTTCTTAGCAATGCATATTACTAATCAAACATTAAGTTTTGATATATTTACAGTAGGAAACGTGTTCGTAAATGACGTAAGATATTTAGTCTTGTTTGTATGGGGGAAAAAAACTAAATTAAGTGCATTTTGCTTATAATAAATAAAATGATCTGCCGGTGGGGAAAGTAAAACAAGAGTATTTCTCTTTACCCACTTTTAGAGCATTTGACTTGTTTTAAGCACAATTCACTTAATTTAGTTTTTTTCCCTGGAAACAAGATTGAATATCTTACGTCATTTTGCTTATCTAGTACATGCATCTTAATTTAATAATTTTTAGATATTTTGACTAGAAACAAGAGAAAAATACTAAGTAAGATACGCCTTTTTTGCAGTTCTCATGTTGTGTTTGGGTTATTTTCCCAAAAAATGTTATCGCATTGTATTAAAACGTTGAGTTTACTTACACACGGTTGCTTCTGGTCGAAAATGACCGGCCTACAAAAAAAACTGCTTATAAATCTTGTGTTATGCTGTATTATTAGAGCTTATGAACATCAGTTTTTGAGTAAATATTGAAAAAATTATTCACAAATAATCTTTTTTCACTCAAAAAATGAGGTGCATAAGTTCAGATCAATGAGTCTTACGATCAATCAGCTCCAAAAGCAAATATTGACTTTGATGCTAATTGACAGAAAACAAGTTGACACAAAATATTGAATCCAAGATTTGGTGATAATATAGCACAATGAGATATTTATAAGAATTTTTAAAAAAAAGGCTGCTAATTTTTGACAGGAACACTAAATTAGGTGCAGGATTTTCAGCAGCACAAGGGTTAATAAATAAATTAGATACGATTATCTGAGTAATAATGACATTGTTCTCTGATCTGAGTGAATGTCAGATTGGACAGATGTCTTTGTATATTTGTTGTTTATGATCAGTTTCATGTTCGTTGATTTCTACACCGTCTGAATGAATAATTCAGTGCATTTCTCGTTTTTATTGAACTGGTTTTGAGCTCTTTTCATCCTGAACTCAGTGTTTTTGTCTTTGGTCTTAGTGAGTTATTTGAATTGCTTTAATGAATGCCTTGATTGGTTGTGTTTAATGAGCCTGTCTGAGGTGGTTCACAGTGAGAGTGAATGTCGAGCGATCGGTTAACGGGTTAGTTAGAGGGTAGTTAGGTGCTGTTGACTAGTCCTGCCATTGTTGCCATAAACACAAAGACGCTTCTGTGCATGACTTGCTTTCTTTCTAAGTGTCCTAGCAAAGATACCAGTAGCTCTACTTTTGGGAATCCCAATTTTTTTGCATGTAAAAAGCTGTAAATGTGTTTAGGTTGCGTTGGTTATCGAGCTACAAATCATCCTTTTGAATAATGGGATAGCTGTCACAATTATGATTTCAAATAAATGTTTTGCCATAAATACACCTCAGCTCTGGGTGTCTGTGTGTTTTGAGAAAAATAAAGAAAAAAGTTACCCTGCTGATTTAAAGCCAGGATTCTTGTCATATTGGAGTTTAGTCCATTATGAGGCAGCCCGGGGCTAGTTGTCACACATTTTACTCCAGTGCATATTTGTCTTTTTTGTTGTTATTAAAAAAAAAGTCAGTTTCTGTATAGACACAAACCTTAGAGTCTTAAATAAAAAACGCTATTGAACATTTTCACACTTGAAAAATCCCTCAAAATCCAAATATAATGTTTATTTAACTGGGGCATGTTGTCACAGTGGAAACCTGCTATTTGTTGACAAGATTACACGTGTTTTAAATATCAAACAATAGCAAAAATACTATATTTAAAATGTATTATAAAAAAATAAATAAAAAAAAAAACATTCTGAAACACAAAACAATTTAAGAAACAGCAAAAAAGGAAACATGGGGGGGGGAAATCAAACGTAATTAATTGTTTAAAATTACAACGTAAAAACCAAGAAACAACTAAAATGGAAAAAGTCAACCATAATTAATAAGTTGTATAAAATTACAAACCGTGACACAACTTTCACCGAAAACGTAATATTCATGAGGCGTCATCCACGTACATGCATATTCAAATGAGTTCTCGTTTAAAATCCTATGGCCGCTTTAGTTATTTTCAACAGGGACCAATGAGGGCGACCGTTGATCTGCGCGTGCGCATAGATCACCGTCCAATGAAAAGTCGGTTGAAATTTTAAATCTCACCGAGCGCTCAGTCAGTCAGTTAGCGTTAACGGAGAGAAGATGGCGGAGGAATCCGCCGTTAAAGTGTGCGTTAGGGTCAGACCTCTCATTAAAAGGTAAGAAAAGCTGCATATTTACAGAGTGGAGGTAAATTTAATATAAGTTAACAGAGTTATTTGCCGAGTGATTCTTAACGGAGCTTGAACTGACGACACCATCTTAAACTAACTTACTAACGTTACAGAAGATTGTTTTTGTTCTATTTCTGAAGTAAACCTGTCCTAAAAAACAAAATGTGCTTAGTTTGAGGAGGTAAGTTAAACCTAAAAGATTCTTCGAAAGGAGAAATTAATTATTGTCCAATGACATCATCTTAAATCAATACAAAAGGCTGTTTTTGTAAATATTTATGAAGGAAATCTATTTTAGAAACCGTAATATGTTACAATACTATATTAGTCAATAATAATAATAATAATAATAATAATATCCTTTTATATTTAGTTGGTTTACCAGGTTTTACGAATTCTGTTCGTCTGTCAGTCACCATAGAGCTCATTTATTATTTTAACCTTTATAATGCAATTAAAATCTGTGGACAATTTTCTATTTGGACCCAAAGAATCGTCATTTTATAACGAAGACGTAACTTAATATTTTTTTAACGTAAACCTTATTTTATCAGCAACTTCTCATTAATGAGTAGATGTGGGGGAAATAAAATCAGTTTTGAATGATTTTTTTTTTTTTTTACCATGTTATTAGCCCTTTTTGATTAAGTAAAAAAAAACGAGGAATTCTTTGAAATTTACAATTACACATGAAGCACACCAAGTGTGTGTTTTTATTTATATATATATATTCAAGTTTTATCGTATAAAATACCAGTATTAACCCCAATACAATGAATGGAATTTAATTAAATTCTTTTGAATTTATAATTAATGACTGCTCAAAAACAGAAATTTATGAATCCTACTCTGAAAAGTTTTCAAAACAAAATAAATTAATTTTACTTGCATAAACCTTCACTTTCAGATGGAAAAGGTGATACATTTTTCATGCCTCAAAACATTACTGTTTATCAACAAAATTCAGCCCTAAAGTGTGCGAGATATAGGGAAAAGGTGACATTAATTTTAAAGTTTTTGACACCAATTTAACTCTAGGTAATTTTGGCAAAAGTATTTTTGACACCTAATGGTGCTCCGTACATACCCAGGTCAAAATGACCCGTACATTTTAAATGGTTTTATCTCTTAAAAGTAAATGTGTATTTTGAGGATCTTAAAGCATTTGCAAAGTTTCATAAAAAGCTATGCAGTTTTTAGAAATATTTATGCATCTCATTCTCTTCCAAGCCAAATCGGACCCGAATGCATTTTGAGGGTTAATGTATTATTTAAAGGGATAGTTCACCCAAAAATGAAAATTCTGTCATTAGTTACTCACCCTCGTGTCGTTCCAAACTCGTAAGACCTTCGTTCATCTTCAGAACACAAATTAAGATATTTCTGATGAAATCCGAGAGCTCTCTTTGGCCCTCCGTAGACGGCAAGCATCCAAACACGATCAATGACATCGCTAAAATAATCCATGTGACATCAGGGGTTCAACCATAATTAAACGAAGCTACGAGAATACTTTTTGTGCACAAAGAAAACAAAAATAACGACTTTGATAACGACACACTATAGCTCCATTTTAGAGAGTATCGCATATGTTTGTATGAGGATACGTTGTTTACGTTCAGATCAAAGCATAAACAATGTAAATAACGTATCCTTTTACATACGTATGCAATACTCCAAAATAGTGCTATAGGGTGACGCGGAGATGACAAATTGTTGAATAAAGTCGTTATTTTTGTTTTCTTTGTGCACAAAAAGTATTCTCGTAGCTTCGTTTAATTACGGTTGAACCCCTGATGTCACATGGATTATTTTAACATTTCTGAGCATTGATTGTGTTAGGATGCTTGCTGTCTACGGAGGGTCAGAGAGCTCTCGGATTTCATCAGAAATATCTTAATTTGTGTTCCGAAGATGAACGAAGGTCTTACGAGTTTGGATCGACATGAGAGTGAGGAACTAATGACAGAATTTTCATTTTTGGGTGAACTATCCCTTCAAGGCTGATTCTCAGACCCAGCAGTAATGATGATCTGATGATTTCAGAGAGGAGTCTGAGAGTTCAGAGCCAGTGCAGCTCTACTGGAGAGCCGACAAACAGGCCATCCATCAGCTGGATGATGACGGAGCTCAAACCAAGAGCTTCAGCTTCGGTGAGTCGAGCTCCAGCTGATCTTCACTCACCACTAGTGCAGCGCTTCATGTTCTGAGCTTCGTGTGTTTCAGACCGCGTGTTCAGCGCTGGAGAGACCACCACTCAGCTCTACCAGGACATCGCAAAGCCGCTGGTCGTGTCTGCCGTTGAAGGCTACAACGGTGAGTCCAGAGATCAGAGCAGTTACAATGTATTCCAACAGGTATTTGAAAGGCATGCTTGGTGTAATATCAGTCAACACAACCGCACGTGTTGCAGTACATACTAGGGTTGCTGCGATAGACGGTAGGGATGCACCGAAATGAAAATTATTGGCCGAAGCCAAAAAAAATTAGCCTAAACACTGGGCCGAATACCGAACACGGTTTTTCAAGTTTTTTTCCCCCATGTATTTTGACAATTTTTTTCACCATTGCATAAATTAAATAGCCAAAATGTGCTTTTTACTGTTTTGTCTGGTTTTTCAAAGAAAAAATCAATTACAAAACAACAATTTAAAAATATTTAACACT